AAGCATTTCTCCTTAGAATGTCAGTGGGTACTTGACATGACAAACTCAAATGGTAATGATGAAAATTATTACTTGAAATTTCAGTATCTAAATTGTGCTTATGCTCATTCTTTGTATCACATTATCAGATAAGGGGCTAGTTGCTGCTTTATCGTGTGAACGCAATTGTGTATCTCTGATGGAGTCACCCGAAACTCTCAGAGAAACAGCAAAGATGTCAGCACTCTCTATTTCCCATAATGACCCGGCAAGCGATATCGATGAAGACAAAGAGGAAAGCGCAGAAAGCTGAGGAAAAATAACTACACTGTCTGTGACATTACTAATCAGTCCATTTTACTGTAAATGTCTTGAAAACGATGGGATGAATAAATGTTGTTATATAAAATTTTCTTATATTAAGTGATTTTCATGATTATTTGTGGGGCTGTGGTTTCTAACTTACGGCAATACTTACGAAATTACACGGCAGAAAACACTATGCTACAATTAATAAACCCGCAATCACTGCCACGTATTTTAGATGTTTTTTTAACTGTCATTGCTCGCTCTTTTCAAAAAATCTCCTGTATATGTTCAAAAAACCCTTATAATAGTCCTGGTAATCACTTTGACCGTTTTGAGGTCCTTGCGGCACACCCTACAAAGAACCTTTTACATCACTATTAGACTTTCAATGTATTGTGGGGTCAGTTTCTAGAGAAAACAAAAGAAATCCGCCACGTTTTGTCCCATCCTACAATGCATTGCGTACACGGTACATGACGTAAAAGCTTCAGAGGGCTATTATTGACTATGGTGAAAAATAAGCAGAAGACTGGGAATAAGCACCATGAACGGTCCATGTTTTTAAAAACCCTTTTCCACCATAGGAAAGAGTATGGTAAATTCACTCACTGGTAAATTGGTGGAGTTTCAGTATCAAATGTTGAATTTAAGCAGAATTACTAGCATTTGAACTATGTACCAAAAACGTGAAAACGAGTCTGGGAAGGCCTCAATATACTGATTTTCACTAAATTTCTGTTTCTTAGATGTTAGGGCATTGGAACTTTCAGTACTTACTCTTTATAGTATATTCTTTCAACGGGTAATAATGATATATTGAACAGCTTATAAACTAACGTGTTACGATAGCCACGCCCTTTTTCATGTGGTCTATAATCGTGATGAAATCCATTCAATTGCACATCTGGTATTTATTTCCAATAAGATCTGTAATTAGTATAGGCTAATAAGCTCTCGCTATTGTGTTTTCAACAAGTCATTAAGTTCACCTCTGACAAACGTACAGTTAGGTCTCATTACGCGAGACCGAGTAGTACACTTTTTTTCGATTACTCGAAGTTCAGGAATATTACACAATTTTCTAACAAAATTAAAGATAATTCCTAACGAATATACATCGCTTTCGTAAGAAACACAACTACCGTTAAGTACTTCTGGGGCAATGTGTAGATATGTAGTAGAGTATTTTTTCCCCGTAGGAGGGCTAGAGGCCTCGCAAGCTTTCCCTAAATCAATTATAAATGCTCTGCCATTATTGACTAAAGTATTGTTTGTCTTCAAGTCATTGTGAAGGATTCCGATTTTGTGAAGATGACTCATCCCTTCAGACACGTCTTTGCACAAGTTCAAAAATGACTTTTTATCAAATTGTCGCCTCATATTCACGTAAACCTCATCTTTACCGGCAACAACCTGATATAACATGGATGAAATTTGAGTTTCATAGTTACCGATAAAATCCATAACAATACTATATGGGGTTTGAGCGAGCTGCACTCCATATAGGAAGGGAAATCTATCGCTCGCAAGAGACTGGAGTGCCCTTGCCTCATTGATCACCTCTTCTTTTCTCTTGAACTTCATAGTCTTTACCACCACCAAATGATTGCCAATCCGTTTGAATCTCTTTAAGTTGCACTGTCCAKAAGTTCCTTCTCCAATACATTTGCTTTCAGTTGTTAGAAGGTCTTCGGCATTGATAAGGTTAATACCAGACATTACTGTGGACGTCCCTGTGGACGTAACTTTATTTCTTTTTGCAAGACGCTCTTGAAGTTTTTTGTTCTTTTCTTGTATATGATTAATTTCCCTCTTTAAGCTTTTGGTATTTTCCTCTAAAGAAACCACTTTGTTCTTCAACTGGTCGTTAGGGCTTTTGTATGAAGTTTGAGTAATTTTATCTACAGGCTGTTGATCTACATGTTCTGCATATGGTTTCAAACATTCATATGTTTGCATGGAGTTCTCAGCTAAGAAAGTGATTGATTGATCGTTCTTTTCACTCTTTTCTTCTGATCTTTTTATCCATTGTAYACCCTTGTAAATATACCCACCGCCATCTCTTTTGTGCTCAACACCAGGAAATGCTTCCCTTACTATTCGCCCAAAAGTTTTATTTGATTCTTGAYGGAACTTTTGATCRAACACGGAAYGTACAACTTCCACTGGTAGCTTATCACAACTGCTGGGTGACACTTGGAAGTTCACTTTTARCCTAAAAATGGATCAGTCACAGACCTCTTCAAATATTGTATTGTTGAGGCCGATTTGTAACGCACAATTATCACATGCTTCTTCTTGACGTGCACACGAACTATTATACTAACGATTGTCCTGAGATATTACGGTCATTMGGAGAGATTTAAAATCTAAATGGTTGAAAGAGATGGTAGAGTTTCTGTTTACAAATCACCAGAAGCAAAACTCGACTGGACACTTCTTTGTAGGATGTTGTGTGTGTAAATTAGACGCTAAGTTCAAGTTAACGAACCGGTGTTATATATATATAATATATATATAAATAGAATAAATGAAGAAAAAGCCACGCAACTTGTAACTAGGTTTTCTACTTTTTAATGAACGTTTCGGCACTTAGGCCTTCTTCTTCTTATATATATATATAAATAGAATAAATGAAGAAAAAGCCACGCAACTTGTAACTAGGTTTTCTACTTTTTAATGTATGGAGAAAATCATAACTTTGACTAAGTATTATCGTATATGTAAGAGGCGTGCACAAATCAGGTTGCTGTAAACATAGACTTTCTCAAGTTCAGCCCCGCTTTTAATTCTTGCTTTAGCGTGGCTGTGCGTTTTTCTCTTCATAAAAAGAACTACTTACAGCACAGTCAATTCCATTGAAGGTAGTAAAATGCTATCATTTTGTTTCACTCACCATTCTACCATTTGACCAACATTCGTATCCATAACTACCGTCACTTAATTTAAACGTGATATTATCGAAGATACTACAAAGTAACCCGCTTTCAACAATGGTAAAGAACGGAAAGTAAGGGGGGTCAAGACTGCATCGCATTTGCATAAAGCTTCGCGCCTTTATGCGTGAGTGAGTACGCGTATCACTCTCTTGGTATCTGACTTGGTTCATACTTTTAATCTTTGATCCCTATTTACAGCATTCTTCACTATTTACAGCATTCTTCATTAGAAATTAAAACTAAAATGAGACTAGAATATAAGGGACTGAAGCATTAGAGACTTCGAGCAATATCACTAATGTGTCAGAAGAATCTAGTGAAGCACTAGTTTTCACTTCTATGCCAAAACCGAAGTCACGTCAAAAACTGTGCTATTCAGACGATAGCCTCTCAGAAGGAGAAGAACTTTTACAAGTTATTGYTGCACAACCAAAAGACACAGATTCTGGCTCTGGCTCTTCCTCTGARGTTAGTGGAGAGTTCATAGATTCCATTTTTGTAAAGAAACAAAAAGTCACACATTCATCTTGTGTAGAGCCGGAGGGTTATGGTGCTACAGGCGACTCAGACTCTGAGTCAGAAGTGGAAGGAGAATTTTCCATTAACTCGAAAAAGAATATAGAAGATGTGTACACAGACACACAAAGTGAAGCAGAATCTGACAATGAAACTAAAGAAGTCTCTGAAGAAGTCTCTTCAAAGCCAAGGGGTGGGTATATTATTGATTTAACAAGCCAGAGGTCTAGTAAATCAAAATGATTAAAAGAAATTCATGATATCACTTGACAATTTTTAAGTTAAGTATTAACGGATATTTTCGAAAACGTCGTCCAAAGTGGCGTTTTGGCTCCGGCAAATCAGTTAAAATAAATAACGAAGAACTAGCGTTGAAAACTTCATGTGGATTCGTCTCAAAAAAGGTTTTACAAATTGGACGGAACCTTTAGTTAGTTGACGAAAGATGAATACAAATAGTTTGCTGGACGTTGTTAATGTTTTGGTGAAGCGCTCATTTAACTTTGACGTTGAGTTGCGCTAACAAATTTAAAAYGGCTCAAAATTCCGGGTTTTTGGGGGATGAAATTTTGATAGCGTAAAAAGTAAGTATATCAATATTATCATAGTTAATAGATACGATCGAACATTTCACGTCACTCAAATAACCAAAAGTTTGTGTCTACATGATAAATCTATTATATTTACTGCTCTCCGGCAGAACAAACGAATAGTTAACGTTGTGAATTACGATAACAAGAACTTTTAATTTAAGTATYTTTTAATTACAGGGAAACACAGATCAAGAGTATTGGTGCCTTCACAAGTTTTGCGCCAAAAGTGCTGTAGTCAAGAATGTCTGAAAAAGCTGTCACTTGAGCAGTTGAACAAAGCTCGTGACAACTTTTGTAAAGAACACCCTACTTATGAGCTCCAACGCAAGATGATTTTAAACTGGTTTGACAACAATCAGCCTGAAATAGGCAAGTTTGTGTATACTATCTCTGGAATATCTGTGTGTTGGTCTGCATGGACTATGACACTTGGTATAACCAGACGAACATTCTACAATCTAAAGGCCGATTATTTGAAAGGGCGGAGATCTGAAATGCATGGCTCGTATGGAAGTATTCCACACTCTGAAGAGACTGACAAAACAGTACACTTTCTCACGAAGTATTTCGAAGAGTCGTGTGATTATCTTCCAAACACATCTAGCTGGCACTTGTCTTCCTCAACAAAAAAAACGGACGTCTACAATGACATGTGTCGAGCTATGTCTTCAAGAGGCATGAGTGTTTGCTCATACGCTACATTCAGACATGTATGGGCCAATGAATTTCCTCATGTCAAAATACCTAAGGTAAACAAGAACTTTTTGTACCTTATGTTATAATAGATGCTTTTATCACTAAAATATATATGAAATACCTATTGTTCTCGCTTTCAAAACTTCTTTTTTCACKACTGAAAAATATCGTAATTCACTACCAGCCACTCCCACATCTCTACATTTCTAAATCAAACATGTTGATGAATGTTATCATTGTGCCATAAAATCTAACATTTTGAAAAGTATAATATTTAATAATTTCATATTCATAGGAAAACAGGTTTKGTAAATGTGACACATGCTCAAACGTCAACGAGATTATAAGAAGAGAGGGATTTGAAAACAGTGCTGTTCAAACGAGAAAGAGTAACCACAGGATTTTTGTCAGGTAAGACATGTCGTGTTTCTTAGAAATTGACGGCAATATCGAAATAAGGGGAATCAAGACCCATGGCAAAAAAGTCGCGTTATACCGTGCGATAACGAAGGAATTATGTAATCCTATAAACTCCGCATAATGATCTTAAGTTTTCCCGTTAGCATAACTCTTATTTTACCACATAATGCAGCGGGATAATCAGGGGTAAACGTACCGTTTTACCGCGTTTTACCTATAGGTAAAATGTAACAGTAACATGTGTTACACCCGTTATCTCTGTAGAGATAAAAGATAATTCTCGTTTTACCTCACATAATATCTGCATAGTCCCAGTTGGGTAATTCGGGTTTTAACCCGAAATATTCACGACATAATCCTATGGAAAAATTCCTGAATCACTTAATAATCCAACTGGATTATACTAGTTTTACTCTCATGACGCATGGGATAATTTGAGATAATGCGTATCTGAACTCACGATTTACCTTCATTTTACCTTCGAATAATTCAAATAACTTCGCAAACATCAAATGTCAATCAACCAACATTTTATACTTAAACGAATTTTAAAGTTGTATTTTTCTTTAAAATGGCTAATTTTTGAATCTAGCAGATGAAATTATTCTTGAAGCGCAGTCAGGGAAATCAGACAGACAGCTGTCATGAAAAATCAAAGCACTGTACTATGACTACTAAAAAAACTGTGCAAAGCATTTAGTTTGTTTTTCTAAAATATTCTGAATGATAAAATCTTTCACGATCAAGTATTTAAAGTTAGACCTTATTAGTATAGAAGTCTTTTTTGTTCTATTGGACATTTTTTTTTTGTATCTTGCTTTTCGGTCTTGGATCCTTAATTATTGGCTACTTGATGAGAATCGGTGTTTGAGAATGTTCATTCGATCTTTATTACTGATTTTTTTGTCCTTATGGATATTTTAGCTTTGCTCGTATGTTGGACTCTTCTTAATAGACGTAAATCGTATCGTATCTGAAATTATTAAAAACAAAAACAAAAAACGAAATACCATCAAAGTAAAAAGTGGGGTCCCCTAGACCACGCCACGATACGTTTAAACTAGCCTCTACCTACAGTTTGAAATCACGACTTTCCTGCAAAGCGAGTACTAGCGTACGGGCATTCCTTGAACGTCTGGGCGCCTATGAAAGGTCTTTGTTTATCAAGGAACTCACGGTGGCTTGCTTGGTTGCATGNAAACGGTAAGCCAAAACAAGGAACACTGAACCAATCAAAGATAATTCTAGTTGCATACGGCGGTTAAGAAATCAAACATCTCGGCACAGTAAAAATCCCATGTAACTTAAAAGACAGCAAGACAGTAGCAACATTCTACATCACAGACACACCAGGCCCAGCGATCATTGGCCTTCGTACAGCTACTGAGCTCGACCTTCTCAGATTCAACCTCGAATTGAAGCAGTTCTCTCCCAGGAACAGGCCCGCAGAATTTTGCAAACTTTCAACTAACCCGGCACCAATCAAAGACAAGCAAGATCTTATCGCGCAGTATCCAGAATGCTTTGACGGAATCGGAAAATTCCAAGGGGAATACAACATAATTATCGACCCATCTGTGCACCAGTAGTGCAACCACCTAGGAAGGTGGCACTCAGCATGAAAGACGAAATCAAAGAAGAATTAGATGAGATGGTAAAGAAAGACATAATCTGCAAAATCCAAGAAGGCGAGCCCACTGCGTGGGTCAATAGCCTTGTGTACAGAAGGAAGTCTAACGGGAAACTCCGCTTGTGCCTGGACCCCAAGGACTTGAATGTTACAATCAAAAGAGAACATCATGTCACGTCAACTCTAGAAGAGATTCTACCAAAGCTAAGTGGAGCTCAAGTATTCTCAATCGTGGATCCAAAGTGCGGATACTGGAATGTTGTCCTCGACGAGGAGTCCAGCTATCTTACAACGTTTAATTCACCATATGGACGCTATCGATTCAAACGTATGCCGTTTGGTCTTAAGATGTCCCAAGATATTTTCCAAACTCGGATTGACCAGACCTTTGAAGGATGCAACGGTGTAATCGGCATCGCGGACGACATTGTGGTATATGGAGATTCGGAAGCAGCTCATGACAGCAACATGCACGCAATGATTGAACGATGCAAAAAACTGGCTTAAAGCTAAACCCCGACAAATGCTTCATTAAACAAAACGAAATAAAGTTCYATGGGATTATATGCACTAAGGATGGCATCCGGCCAGACCCAAGCAAGGTATCAGCCCTTAAACAGATGGCACCTACAAGTAAGCAGGAAGTACAAACTTTCCTAGGCTTAGCCAATTACATGGGTCCTTTTATGCCRAACTTGAGCACCTTAACAGCACCACTGCGAGAGTTAGTCACTGACAAAACACCATTCTGCTGGAATGCTACGTACCAAGAAGCTCTCGACAAAATCAAAGAGTCTATAAGTAAAGAAGTAACTCTGACTTACTTTGACCCAAAGAAACCAACAGTCCTCCAAGTGGGCGCCTCGCTTAAAGGCTTAGGCGCAGCCCTGCTACAAGACAAGAAACCTGTTGCTTTCGCAAGCAAAGCCTTGACTGATACAGAGAAACGTTATGCCAACATTGAAAGAGAGATGCTCGCCGTCGTCTATGGTTGTGAACGGTTCCATACCTACCTGTTTGGTCGCAGCTTTACGGTTCATTCAGACCACAAGCCTCTAGAAAGTATACACCTTAAGCACCTGACAGCGGCCCCAGCAAGACTTCAACGGATGCTCCTCAGATTACAGCCATATGATCTCGTGATAAAGTATCAGCCTGGGAAGACAATGGAGATTGCAGATGCATTGTCAAGATTATCACCTGAGGAAACTGACGAAATCAGAGGCATGGATGTCCAGATACATCAAATATTTCCCCAATTCAGCAGCAACATGATTCAGAGAATCCAACAGACCACAAGAGACGATCCGGAACTTACAGTCCTGAAAGAACAGACATACACCGGATGGCCATCAGACATTAAGAGTGTTCCCAACCTCATCAAACCATACTGGCCATTCAGAGATGAAATAACGATAGAAGACGGGTTGGTAATGAAACGACACAGAATCATTATCCCGAAAGCCTTACAGGATGAAGTTCTCTCCAA